TCCAGCAGGTAAATCTTCATCACCTCTTCAGCCAAAGCTTCTTCAACACAGACATCATCAGCATACTCCTGAAGACATAACAAAGAACTAGAGTAAGCTTACTTTTATCCCGCATATTTCAAGACATGGACACAAAAAAGCTATTTTCACGTGAAATCTGAAGCTACTAATTTGAACACTGAGATCCACAATTTTAAGTAAATGATGAAGTCTGATATACTTCATAGCTTTAGTTTTTCTGCTGGATAAATGGTCTCTCGGTGTGAAATAATATGGGGGGAGTGGTTGTTTTGAAATGGGTGTGGGGTTTTCCGCAGTGATACACAGCATGATACAAAAGGTTATTTGATGTTTCCTTTATAGCTGGTGAAGGTTCTCAGTCATCCAAGTCATGGTAATCCTAGTAGGTCTGAGTGAAGGAAACTGGACTTCTTTAGTTCCTCGATGCAACACTGCATATATGCCACAGAAGAACAAGAGTTAGCCACTGAAGATTGATAAATACAAATGTTTGAAATATCAAGATGTAAACGATTGAGGGGTAATTCCAAAGAAGAGGAAGAATTAAAGGTAATCTGGAAAGCCGAATGACTAGTCAATGAAGTTTCCAAATCAACATACAATAAAAGAGGAGAGAGTCCAAGTTACATTTTCACAAAAGAATTTTAAATGTAAATAGGACAAATTGAATTCTGGTTAAGGCAGGGTTAGAAAGATTTTATGGATGGGATATGTGACTTTTATTAACTGAAGTAGAATATTTATCTGTTCCCGATGTCGTTGTCCTGCAGCTCACTTCTTGGCTTGTAACAGGGACAGCAGCTTAGCGGAGTAGAAGTCCAACATTGACATGACTTTTGGCTCAAGGTTCAGTGTTGATTCTATGAAACTCTGCACTGATCTGGAAAAGAGGACAAAAAAAGGAAAAGACAAAATCCTAAAAGTCTGAATTAAAATCATGTCAATGTAGCAAAAGCTTAAGTCCATATAGCAATGAAAAGAATACCAGACTGTTCCACAGCACGCGGAGGTGCATGTCTGGGGGGGGGGAGGGTCACACATCTTAAAAGTACATTAAAATCTGATACATGCAGTTTTTTTTCCCTCAAAAGAAGACAAAAATAATAACTTACTTGGGAGACATCAAACAAAGCAGGCCATCTGTCCTTGATGGCTCTGATGCTAAGCTGATGGCTGATGACATCATGTCTTCTATGTGGAAAGGTTCTGCACATTAAATCCTTAATGGTTGTGCTGTTTTTCTTTTTACACTCCTCAGAGACATGCCCCAAAATACGCATTACTGGGCCAGTCATCAGCCATCAGCTTAGCATCAGTATGCTCATTACAAATCAAATTGTAGGACAAAATATTAACTGTCAGTGTTCGCGGGGAGGGCGAGCAGGAAAGCAGGTGAGCGAAGCCAGGAAGTCCATTAAAGTATGGCGTTATATTAGTGCCACATTCCTGAGCGCGCAGAAGGACATTCGCGAGCAATGTTTTTGCTCTATGCGTGCTCAACTCGGCCACCGCGCTCTCGCTCACAGCATCTCTCTCGCTCAGCTTGACGCGCACGCTTGCTCAACCTGTCCTACGCGCGCTCAACTCGGCCACCGCGCTCACAGTGTGTCTCTCGCTCTCACACATTTCGGCTCCGTGCTCGCTCAACTCTTTTTATACGCTCGCTCAAGTTGGGTTTCACTCCAACGAAGATCACAACATTGTACCTGTTCAAGATGGGTGGAAACAATTTCGCTAATGTTGTTCTGTGATAAGAATGAGAACTCATTTTTTCAGCTAACACACTTGTAATTTACATAATATAAAAATATCTTTTTTAAGGGGATGCTGAATATTATTCCTATATATATATATGAAACTAAATATGGTTAATCCCACTCAATATTTCAGTTCTTTGAACATGGCTATAAAGTTTTTATTCAGCTCTCTGCAGATTATTCTAGTTTGACTTACTATGAAAAATATATTATTTACATATTGTCATAAAGTGTTATCAGTATTACACATTGTCCATTAATATATTTACTGTACATGCAGTGTAAATAAATGCTCCTGGATTATTACCATTGACAATATTTCTGGCATTGTGGGGAAGCAATAAAAAAGGCGAACAGAATGTTGGGTTATATCTCTAGATGTGTGGAG